GGTAGGTACTTGACCCAGAAAGTCTCAAGATCCAATTCTTTGAAGTCTTCCTTAGCTGTGGAGTTGAACTTCAACTCAAGAAACTCCTCTTGCACCTCATCCGAAACATCAGCTACTTCACATTGAAATGGGTTCCTGATGAATTTCCAGGCTTCACGCTTCTCATCTATCTCTGGGAAGTATCTGATGAATTCTGTTTTCAAGTCAGTTAGATGAGTGATTATTTGTTTCTTTAACTCAGATTCAAGGTTACCGTGAATGAAAGCAGAATACAAGTTACTAAAACTGGCTGTATTTCCCTGCTGAATTCGACACTTCCAGAGGTCGAGTTTGGCCATGAAGGTTCGAATGGTGTCGTGGTGCATGATGATGTTGATGTTTTTCCCTTGTAGTTTAAGGTTGAGAGCATTTAACGCTTCGAAGATGTCCACCAGGTAAGCTAGAGATACCTGAAAGCCTTCAGACTGGAACTTGTCATGGAGATCTGCCTTCTGCTTCGAATCAAGAAATATTGCTACTTCTTCTCGTAGTTCATAAAGCCGTCCAAGCATGTTCCCCTTTGATAGCCATCGTATGTTCGTGTGAAAAAGCAAGGTTTCATGTTCAGATTCCATGTCCTAACACAGCAGTTTGAAGAGACGACTGTTTAAGGCTTCAGCTTTGATAAAGTTGACTACCTTGATCGCCACGTTCAGGACATCCCTCATTTCAGCAGGTAAAGTTCTGGATACTAAGGATTAACGATGAAGTATACAGTGTGTACCTACAACAGACGGATTTTTTCTTTCACCATTGTAATGAATCCAGACTGCAGACCAAGCATGGCTGGAGCTCCATCAGTGCACACCCCTACCAGCGAGTCCCACGAAAGTTGGTTTTCCTGAAAGAAGTTTGATACATCATGAAAAATAGCTGCTGCTGTTGTACAACTTTCCATGAGGTGATAGAACAGCATTTCCTCTTTTACACTGTTGCCTGACACGAAACGAGCATACATCAGTCGCTGAAAACACTGAGCGATGTCAGTCGTTTCGTCACACTGGATGGCAAAAACAAGAGAATCTCTTACTTGGTCGAGAAATTGATCTTTGATGTCGTGAGACAAATCATCGATCCTTCAAAACTTGCGAATAACAAACAGAGCAACACATGCGTGTTCACAATTCACCAATAAACTTATGGCTGCTTACTATTTTTAGGTAAATATAACTGCTGGGATAAAACATACCTCAACAGCCTTAACTGAATAAATGTGAGAGAAGAGGAATTATTGCCACGGACGTGTGCAGAAGACTGGGAGAGAACGGGGCTCACCAGTCACCAACGAGCAGTATACAGGTCCAGGACGAGCTAACCCCCCCCCCCTTCCCCATGGGTTTCGAGGGATAGGGAGGGGGGTCAATAAGTACAGAAAATAGTAAGCCCTAAGTCAAAAAAAGTAGCCTCTAGAAAACTAAAGTTATAAGGCGATACTTTTGTATTTTTTCATAAACTTCTCAATATTAGCCCACGCTCTTGTTAAGAGAATAAAAACTATAATTATAATTAGAGAAATTCCTACTTTTCCCCTAGGGCTTGCGCCCCCCCTGGAAATTACTGACGCCCCCCAGGTTAAGAACCACTGATCTATTATTATCCTTGACACGTGAAGAATTACCAAGTCGGCTATCTCTGTGGGAACGCGAAGAAAGGATCAGACTTCAGATGAATGGTTACAAGGTTATTGGATATTATGTAACATCTCTCGTGGTCATTCAGTCTAACTTTCTGTCGTTAGTGTAAACAGAAGAATAGTACCATTTGTGAGTGTAAATACGTACAGTAGCGGGTGTGAATTAACGAGAAAATAAAGATCTGTAGTATTGTTGTCAGAAGTAGTTCCCAGTATTTGTGTCACTGTCACCACATTGTGTCAGTGTTTGTATCACCACAGTGCCATTGCTTACTCACATATTTTATCAGTGTTTATCCTTTCCACGAACAATTTCATTTTGTAATCTTCACAAGCGCACTTAATTATCTCCCCTGCATAATCACTATCTCCCGCTACCCAGCTATTAATATGGGATCACCTGAATAATAGACCGTGAGATTATTTCACCATAAGATTAACCACCCTACCGCTAACCTACCTCACCCGACCCCCAAGATAGCGTAAGAGTGCTTAATCATCAGGTGAAATAAGTTGGGGTGGCTAATCTTCAGGTGATTCCTTCTATGTTTACATCTTCTACGCCCCCCCCCCCCCTCAGTCACCTCCCTCACTCAACAACACACAGGGTGTGAGACAGTAGATGATTGATAATTCGGTGTAATTTTTGTGTATGATTCTTTTTCAACTTCCCTATACCTGTAAGATTTTCTCCCTCTCGCTTAGTTTACTTGAGTACTCTACCTGCTTTTCTACATTCCTATTTATTCGTATATGTTTAATTTGTACAAATTATAAAAAAATATTTCGACTGCGAAAGTTATCGTTTTTGTTTGGCTTCTTTTTTTTGTTATTGCACATCCCATCCATATGCAAAATCATATTACCATTTCAAAGGGTTAAGCAATATTGTTTTGAACCTCCCAAATTTGATGACGGCAGCTTGGGACACTTGAGCGTATAAGCTCAATGATTCCTCCATCTTCTGTATGTTGTCGTTTTCTTTCATAGTGTGAGTGTAGTAAAGTGTGTGCGGAGTGTGAGGGCGGACTCGTGTGTTCACAGACAGGATATACTGTACTCTCTCTGTTACCTCACACATCATCCAGGGGGGTGCTGGGGACTCGAACTCCCCCTTTTATATTCTTGGATTTGCCCGTTTCCTGTTTCTTCTCGTTTCTTAAAGTGCTTTAAGAGTCTCGATAACCTAAGTCCTAAAAGATCTCTAACGTGGAATGTCCAAGAAGCCCGCACGAGGGAGTCCTTGTTACAAGTCTTGTGTACAAGCTAATAAGAGTAAGAACAGTTGATGTGAATATTTCTTCTGTATCGAACTTACTGGAAATGAGTACAAAATATGATGTCCATACCAATCCACATACCTATATCAATCCACATAGCTATATCAGCAATACAAAACAGTGGAGGCATAATCAGGTGGTCAGTAGTGATAGCCACCTATATAAGGGCTTCAGTTGTCAACTCTCTCTCTCTCTCTCTCTCTCTCTCTCTCTCTCTCTTAGGTGAGAGTAGGTTGTTGTTGGAAGAGTGGGCAGGAGTTGTAGTAGTTGAGCTCCTTTGACACCCACATCCCATTGAACCACCCAGTCCACACCCACACCCTCTTAAACCACTCAGCTCACACCCTCTTGAACCACCCAGTCCACTCCCGGCTCTTGAACCACTCAGCCCACACCTACACCCCCTTGAACCACTCAGCCCACACCCCCTTGAACCACTCAGCCCACACCCACACCCCCTTGAACCACTCAGCCCACACTCACACCCCCTTGAACCACCCAGCCCACATCCTCTTGAACCACATTTGCGTGAGAAGTATTCAAGCACATTGTGTATTTGGTTCTATACATGAAAACTGATATAGTTAGTGTGCGGCAAGACATACTGCCTCACACGCCTGTACTCGCTCAGTTGTGAATAAGTTACCCTTTATGAATAGAACTAAACAAATAATGTAATTGAAATACTGTGTAACATTCAGTGCCATAATATCCTGACCACGGGGGTTAATTATTATGACTCGTTGTAAACTCTACTCTGTAATCCTTTTGCGCTACCGCTCACAGGATGAGTGTGGGGTGCACAATAAACTAGCCGCTGTAAGAGGGCAAAATCTAATCACCTTGAACCACCCAGCCCACACTCACATCCCCTTGAACCACCCAGCCCACACTTACATCCCCTTGAACCACCCAGCCCACACCCACATCCCCATGAACCACCCAGCCCACGCCCACAGCGCCTTGAACCGCCCCCACACCTTGAACCCCAGCCCACACCCTTTGAACCACCCAGCCCACACCCTCTTGAACTACCCATCCCCACCCACATCCCTTGAACCACTCAGCCCATACCCTCTTGAACCACCCACCCTACACCCACATCCCCTTGAACCACCCAGCCCACACCCTCTTGAACCACTCAGCCCACATCCCCATTCCCTTGAACCACCCAGCCCACACCCACACCCTGTTGAACTACATAGTCCACGTCCGCACTCTTGAATCGCCCAACCCACACACCTCTTGAACCACCCAACCAACACCCACATACTCTTGAACCACCCAGCCCACACCTTCTTGAACCACCCAGCCCACACCCCTTTGAGCCACTCAGGCCACACCCACATCCTCTTGAACCATCCAGCCCGCAACCACACCCTCTTGAACCACCCAACCACACACCCGCATTACCATGGTGTTGCTAGGGGTTGCAGCTGGTATAGGCATAGTGTTACAATGACCATCGTGGCGGTGGAGATATATTTTCATAAACAGGAGCCCTTGGTGTATGGTTCAACTGCTTAGGTCTGAGGCCACCACACTCCTCTCACCCAGCCTTCATGTTGGTTGTTGATTTTACTTTCTGTTTTTTAGTTTTTTGTTAAGATTAATTGCCCCTAATTATTTTTATTGTCCTTAATTAAGTAAAACAGGAAGGTGCGTGTGCTAAAAGAGGCGCTCGTCCTTTTTCTGCACAGAATGTCCAGGATGTCTTGATTAATATAACCCTTTTCTTTTCTCGTTTTAATTTATCTTTCTTCTAATTTTTTCGCCCCGTTGTGGGTTGTTCGACCTGTGCCCGGGTGGGCTAATTCCCGTAAAAAAAAAAAAAATCCGAAGGTGAACCTGTTCTAAAAATTTTGCTTTGAAAAATTTCACTCAGTAAAAATACCCGCTTCAAAGGACTATTAAGCAAGATTAGTAAAAAAAATCCCAGTAATATAAACATCCTGTGAACTGGTAGCAAACGACAGGAAGAGGGCGACGGATAACGGAGGATAACGCTTGTACAACTCTCCGGATTTCTCGTCTCAGTCTTATGTTGTCTCTGGTTTGCTGGGGTGCTTCTCTGGCCTCACTAAAGAACTCTACTTTAAATCCGGCTGCAAAGGCCCGAAAACGATTTAAATATTTCTTCATCGAGAGAGTACACAAGTTGTTCGTCTTCCATAGTGAAATGTGTGTTAGTGGGGTCTGATTGAGACATCTTGTTTGAAAATGAAAAAAAAAACGCACTTGTTTCTTGTAGATTGGAATCTATGAAAGCTGTTGATTGTGCTTGTAAAATTGTTATTAGATAGATCGTTCATAATATTGATAACATCCGATCATAACAACGTGTTTGGAAAGACAATGAAAACACATACCATAATATCTTCTGTTCACTCACGGATGTTATTTGTTTTCATATCGAAGTACTGTATATAAAAATTATGTTTGAAACGACATAAATAATGGTAGCAGCGGAAGTTACATTACCAATACCATGTTTTGAGTATGTCCCGGAAGCAAGGCGGGAGTAAATACTGCTAGTGTAAGAGTAAACAATGTGGGAGCTGCTTATAGCTGTGACAGTATTAGTCACAGGGGTACCAACCTCATATGCAAAACAGTGTGTAGGGTTACCTGTATGCATAACATAATAAATGCCCGAATGATCTCTCTATAGAAGACAAAAACAGAGGTCTGGAGTGTAAAACAAAACCGGAAATAGATTCTTCGCCTGACGTCATAGTGATATGCCCTTGTTGTCATATCCTGCTGGATATGGTAATAATGGAAACGTTTGAAGTAAAGTTAATGCCATGGGTGGCAACCTTTCCGCTGACTCAGATAATACTAGTGTACTTTGTAACTCCAGATGACCCCTAGGGAAGGCCAACAAGATGGTAGACATGCATAGCGTCACGCGCATCACCACAATCCCCAAACAACAAGATACAATTGATAAGATGCTTCCACCTCACATTGTGCGTCGTGACACTGCCAGCGGAACCCACACAGAGGGTTATAAGACGGTGTTCTTTGACAACTTGCCCTCGAGAGAGACTACTTTAAGAGGAGGCGGTGATCTGGAAGCCAAACAGAAATCCGTTTATAGTGATCATAAAGATGGTCCAAGGGGAGGAGAGAACCCGCTTCCGTACAACATGGCAAGACAGAAGGAGTTGAAAACTTCTGGCGAGAAACTTAATGAAATTGTATCACACGGAACTAGTGAGAATGTTCTTATTAACGGTGCTCTGGATAACGACACTTGCATCACTAATGAGAATAATGATGAATCAAAACCTTTTGACTTACATTCTTCAGTTAAAGATGACAGATTTTCCAATAATTGTCATTATCCGGGGAAAATAAACGGCATAGACTGTGAAAGACAGAGAATTGGAAAAAGAAATAGAGAAATTGGGGGTAGTGTCAGAGAAATTAGATGCAGTGAATGGAAAATTAAAGATAGCCTCCGAAAAATCGGAAGCAGTGACTGGAAAGTCAGAGGTAGTGACTCAAAAACTAAAGGCAGTTACGAGAGACTCGGTGGTAGTGTCGGAAAAATTGAAGACAGTGGCGAGAAAATCGGAAGCTATTTTCGAAAAAGCAATAGCTGTGGCGGGAAAATTGGAAGCAGTGATGGAAAAATCAACTGTCTCGTCACAGTCAACAAGAGCAATAACGGTTCCAGTAATATCCTCCAGAAGCCCACCAGAAGCACAGAACTTCTCACTAAGGGTTATGTAGAGAAAGATGATCTTGTGGCAGCAAGCCTTTCGGGTAGGAGGAACAAATCCGTGAGCGATGAAGAAGAGGAGGTACGCAAGATCGGGAAAGGAACGGCCAGTAAGTTAGGGCGGGCATTCTCCTTTAGTCCTGCTAGTAAAAATAAACCTGCTACCCCCACCAGCACTTCCAGAGTGAATAGGCTGTTGGAGAGGTGGTTGTTGCGGAAGAGCAACCCCATCTTCCCCTCCTTCAGCCAGTTTATTAATGACTATATTTTCAAACCTTTATCTCGGAAGTCGAGTGATCCCACAACCTTAAAAACAGAGACAGATGGGGACGAGAGGGGGAAAGGGGGAGATGAGCTAAAATGCAGCGGATGTGACCTAATGGGGAATGAAGAGAAAGGAGATAAAACAAAGAGAGAATTTGATCATAGAAAAATTTTTCATAAATTTGAGAATAGTGAAGAGAAAGAAACAGTTAAAAATTACTCTGAGAAAGGACATGAGAGAGAGGAATGGGATGATGAAGTATTTATTGAGGCAGACGAATATGACTGCCAAAAGCTTACGAGGAAATATGATAAGGACAATTTACAAGATGGTGATAACGAAGAGTACTTACTTGAGAGCGGATGGGTCAAGAAGAGGGTCTCTCAGATCGAGAGACAGATTGCCACCAAGAAGCTGGAGAACACCCAGAGTACTACAAGGAAAAAAAGCAGCGACAGCATTTTGCCTCATATTACGGAAGGTGACATGGACTGGGTTATCTCAAAGGCAACGGACACTGTTCATTCACTGACGATAGTTGAAGGAGAGGAGGAGAGAGTCTTGGCTGGTAACGATAAAACTAATGATAAAAAGGATGAAATGCAAGAAGAAACGGTGGAGCTTAAAACAGCAGAAACCGAGAATTCAGGCGACGACAGCGATACTGACACAGAGGAAGACGAAGTGGGAGATATAGTGGTGTTCAGATCCAAGTCCCAAAATAGACCCACTTCATTGTACCGCTCCTCTAACCGTCCTCCCTCTCTCTACCGGTACTCCGCCTTGCGCCCGAGGACCCTCATCATCGGTTTAGGGTAGGTACCATTACAATACAGTATTGTCACCAACAATATAGGGTGAGCACCAGTATGGGCCTTAAAGGTGTATATATATATATATATATATATATATATATATATATATATATATATATATATATATATATATATATATATATATATATATATATATATATATATGCTGATAACCACAAGGAAAAAGAAAACACGAAGTTCCCAAGCGCTTTCGTGTAATTCACATCTTCAGGGGTGAGTAACTATATATATATATATATGTATATATATAAAGTACAGTATAATGCAGGTAGTAGGTAGCAAGTAGCTACCAAACAGGAAGGTACTACCACCTGGAAAGATATTGGAATCATAATGTGTTGTCTAATGGTAGACCCTGCTGCCACATAGCATCACAAAAATTGTGACTATAGTCCTAGGTTGCTGATCTGACTTTCTGCCTCGTTTACACACAATTACAGGGTCTCAATTGTTTCTCCTACTTGGACAACACAACATACATAATGTATATCGTTTCTCACTCTTGATTTATTTTTTCGTGTTTATATTTATTTATGGTTATTATGACCATTCATATTATTTTTATTATTATTATTGTATTAATTTGCTATTCATTTTATTAATTGTGGTGGGTCAGTGACCTGTGCCCGGGTGGGCTAATCCCCGTAAAAAAAAAATCCTTTAAGGCCTCTAATATCAAGTAGAGATTCATTTTCCGGTAAACAGTCAAAGTGGTTGACTAGCTTACCGACTCCTTTTCCAGACATATTTTCTCATTCACGTTCAAGACATTCTGAAGATTTCATTGAAAAAATAAGAGGTTTTAACTTCCAAAATGTTAAAATGCTGAGTCTGGATGTGGTTCCCCTTTTTATTAAGGTACAAGTAGAATATGTCTTAGCTTTCTTAGAAAATAAGTTATTGGAATATCAACAGCAACTTCCATTACCAGCGCCTAAGATTATTGCTCTCATTAGACTGTGTTTCTTAAAAAAAAAAAACAAAAAAAAAAACAAGTTTTATCGTCAATTTTTGGCTGTTTTGTGGGAAGAATTTATCTGCAGTGTTATGTAACCTTTATATGGAATATTTTTAATCCAATCTGTTGCTTCAAATAAATCCAAGAGCTATGATATACAGTAGTATCGCCATATTGACGACATTTTCACCATTTGGGGTTCTTTTGATGATTTTTTCCTGAAGCTTGACTCATTAGTCATCAGTATTAAATTTAAAGTAGAGTAGGAAAATATTGGTAAACTTCCATTTTTAGATATTATGATCATGAAAGAGAGTAATGAATTAGAATTCATTGTATATAGGAAGCTTACACACTTTTTTTCAGTAATAACCCTGAACAAATCAAGAACAGTCTGGCAACTGGGCTTTTTCTAAGAAGTTTTAAGATTTTGTAGTTCCCAACATGTACTGTAGATAAGAAATTTCTGTGATAAAATGTCAACTCAAGAGATTAAGATATCCAGATTGGTTCTTGTATAAAGCTTTTAAATTCTGCCAAATGAAACTTTTATAATAATAAACCACCCAGTGTTCAGGAACATGTTATCCAGAAAAATATTTAAAACTTCCACATAATAAAACTACATCTTCATTACTGAAGAATCTGAATATTGAAGATCAAAATCAAAAGAAAATAATATTAAATGTTCCTAACAACACAGGAGAAACCTTATCAACGTATACCAAAGGCTATCTCCGGATGGTAAGTCATCCTGGAGTGTATAAAATACCCTATAAACAATGTAACAAAGTTTATAATGGTAAAACTGGCCGTAATTTAAATGACAGAATAATTGAACACAAACTTCAACATAGCATATGGTTAGTGAACCCCGGACCTGATCATGAATATTGTCATCAAGAAGATTAACCCAAGTCTCCACCCTTCCTCAACTCAGGAGACAGGTCATGTGACCTGCTTCCCATGTTATATGTCTTTCTCCTTTGTTTTGTACTGCTAGTTAACTGAAGAGGGTCCTAGTGTCTGGCCCGAAATATACCAGCTCCAAAATTTTGTCTTTTATTTCTAATTTGGGCTGCACATTGCAGCTCACAGCTCATGTCACGAAGTGTAAGAGGATGCACCTAGGTTGTACTAACAGTAAGAAGGCGTATCATATGTCCCAACGGGACGAAGAAGCAACATTAATCGAGACCGAATGTGAAAAGGACCAGGGTGTGTATGTTGACAAAGAACTGAAGTTCTCGGACCACTGTGAGAAGGTGAATCAGGCAACTAAACTAGTAGGTCTTATAAGAAGGGGTCGCATAGAGCTCCTAGGTTCTCTGGGTTGCCGTAGAGCTCAGAGGGTCTCTTTGAGTGGCCTATGTCTTGCAGCGATCACATGTGATTGAAGGAAGTGACCGACAGGTGCTGTCTCGTTAAGTTGAGACCATATAATTATAGTCATGGGATTAACACAGTTACTCTCCTTGTGTCAGGTCAATCCAGGTCAGGCTTGCCCTGATAACAAGAAAGCTTCAGGATGTTGTGGTTTTGTGTCTTGGTTAGAAAATATCCGGTTGGTGACTGGCTAAAGATGGATGTTGAATCATGTTGGGTGTGTGTGGGGGTGGGGTCGCACTAGAAAATTATCTAGACGGAGGTCCATCCCTCATAACGCTCTTCAAGAGTGAGGTGCTTCCCCGTTTGGAGCACTGTCCAAAGGAGGGCCACCAGACTGATGCCTGCACTACAGCACCCTCAGTTACCCATAGAGATAAGAACGCCTGCAACTGCCTAGCTTATTCTATAGGCGGGCAAGGGGTGACCTAAATGAAACATATAAACATCTCAGAGGGCACTACTCAGTCGAGTGTCCATACCTGGAACTAGCGGACGCCCGTCCCACATGGGATTACAGCTCAAGGTTGAAGAAGCCAGAAGTCCAGAAAGCTGTGAGGGCACACTTTTCAGAGTGAGAATTGCAAACTCTTGGAACAATCTGCCAGACTGTCGCGATGCCACTGAGTGTGAGCTCTTTCAAAATCAGATTTAAACAATACTGGCGTAGGTACAGATACATCCAGGAGCCAGTACATGCCCAGTACTTGCCAACAGTGCGTAACAAAGATGTGACCGACCGCCCAAGCGGTTAACGAGCTGGTCAGTGGCGCAGAGGATAAAATTAAAAAAGTAATAGTAACTAAACTGTGCGATCTCCAAACACTAGTGTGTTCATTCTTCTCCTGAACTTTACACAGAACATCAGACTGAAAGTTCTGTTTGACACTGGAGTCGGCAATAAAAGAAGACACATAGTCATACAAAGCGTGATTCAGGATGTGGGGAAAGAAATCTGCCACGTTCTTCCTGCAGTACATGCATTCAGCGGTTATGATACCACGAGTGCGTTTGTCAGAAGGGGAACGATTACAAATATGAAGATCCTCAGGCAAAACTTCGAGTTTCTTGACACTTTCGCACAATTTGTGAATTCTGAAGAAATTCCTGACATTGTGTTTTCTGGACTTGAGCACTTCTACGTGCCTTCTCTTTGGAGGATTATCAACAAAGCAGTGAAGTACATCAACGAACTGAGGCAAACAAGGAGCATTGCTGACAAGTTGCAATCGCGTGGACATGAGCCGCCTTCTCCTTGCAGGGATCCCCTGAAAATGTACATCAAAGGGACTAATTGTCAAGCTCTTATATGGAATCAGGCAGCCATATCAACCAAGCCATTCCTGCACCAGAAGCTCATGGCTGGGAACTTGCAAAAGGAAAATTGGAGTTCAAGTGGACAGAAGGTGCCTTCATGCCACAAGAGCTAGTGGATGTGTTGATAGAGGCTCCAGAGAAGACAGAGGAGGATTAAGAAGACCCAGATATTTTAAAATCACATGGCCTTCAGCTCTGAGCATGATGACTAGATTTTGTGATTTTGTCTAATGTTTCAACCTAGTAAAATCATACCTGGTCTTTTGATACTGAGTACATTTCCACTGATTTTTTTCAAACTAGAAGATGAGTGAAACTCGTAAAAATATTTAATTGTGAAACACGTTCAAGTTTAGTAAAAATCAGGTCAAGATAGTTTTCTTTTTTTAATGTACGAGTGAGCATGATAACTAGATTATGTAAATTTATTTCTCCGGTCTTTGAGTAACTCCATACTCTTATTGTCGACATGAAGTACTTTATTTGCCATTGCATTTTCGTTACGCTGTGAAATGTAAAACACTTATCTTTTTTGTTCTAGTAAAATACGTCAAGATAGATTTTTATTGCCTCTGTCAATGCTTTCAGCTGTCAGGTTGCGAAAATCTGAATGCCATGTTTTTCTTACATAACATGGTTACTTATTCCAGAGAAATATGTCTGGCAGACAAGCAGATACTGAAAAGACATGGCCCAAACAACCCAAATAACATGCTCTCCAAAAATTCCCGGGGTGACGGGGGTCGATGCCTGGCCCATGAACTATACAGGGTGTTTCGTAAATACCTTTTATAAATCCTGAGATATAAATAAAAATAAATGACTAAATGACCAACTTGTCAATTCTCAATAGTTTCGGAGTTACAGCACATGGCAGGTTTGGTAGGAATGTGATGAAACCTACAGTCACCTCACATAAATTCCCTTGATTTCTACTTGTGGGGTCACATAAAAAGCAAAGAGTGTGTTACAGAGGTCCCAAACTGTGAGGAATTGTGGCGCTGTGTACAGGACAGTGTGACAAACATTCGCAACACCCCTGTGGTCTTTGAACATGTACGACACTCATTTGTGCCACGGGTTGAAGCCTACATTGAGCAAGAGGGGCAGAACTTTGAAACAATTGCTCTAAATTTTAATACCAGTACAAATCATATAGCATTATTATTGTTAATAAACGTCTCTAGCAACAGTGGATGTTTTATTTACGCCCCATATAGGTTTCATCACATTCCTACCAAACCTCTCATGTGCTGTAATTCCGAAACTATTGAGAATTGACAAGTTGGGCATTTAGTCATTTATCTTTATTTATGTC